AAATAAAGGGTTGGGCAACTACTCTTTTGTTTAGGCTTGGGAAGAACAATGCAAGCTTTTTACAAATAATTTCAGCTGGATGTACGTTGGTGGGCGGGTGTTGAGAGTTACTGGGCGGCCGTAAAACTTGATGGGCGGGCCGCCCGCCTAAAACCCCTTGTGGAGAACACTGCTTACTTTGTGTTGTTATACACCAATTATACCAATATTTCCTCTTATACAGTCATGATGCCAAGCAAAAAATGTTACTTGGTTTTTTTGATAAGAAATAAAAGTAAAATTTGACTTAGTTTTATCGGGAGTGGATATTTTTGATCACTCGATCGCTTCGGTAAAAAACACAGCCTGCCATGATGTTTGTGACGTATTAGTTGGCCGGCATGTGTCCTTTGACCCGAAGGGTCAATAATTCCATTAACCAATCAGAATGCCGCATGGTAATGCTGGTTGAACCGAAGTTTTCCGAATGGTAGTGATCATAAAAATTACATTGCGGAAGTAAAGCGATGTCGTAGCATGATGTGTTGCCATCGATTTCAGTTGAAAACTGCACAATGTTTATCGAAAGAGGTGATTAACAATTTTTAAAAGATAAAATAGGTCTTGAAAGAAGAGTTTTCACATGAATCGCGATGATAACAGTTCAAATGTATTTTACCAAATCACGCTATGCACTCCGCTTTGACCATGTTATATCGAGGTGAAATTGATTTTGAAAGAATTTTAGCTTTCAATCTAAAGACTGTGTCTATCGCAGAAAGTGTTTACTTACAAACAAAGAGATGATAATTTCACAAAATTGACTAGCCGTGTGACTAGGTCTATTGTTTACAAATTATAATCCACGACTGGCAGGATGCATGTCGGTCGGTACATAGTTATATAATAACAATCAAACAATAGTCCTGGTTGGAAGAATTTCTGTGGTGGTCGCTAATTTTGAGTGCCAGTCGGGGCTGACCACCGCCGACCAGCGTGGCGAGAACCCTGACCATACTTTGTACGTATTCTGTGAACCTTTTTTACATTATACTAGTACCAAACCCCTTCCACAATACACCACACCCTCACCGCATCACAATGTACCACACCCTCATCGCATCACAATGTACCACTCACCGCATCACAATGTACCAAACCCCCTTCCACAATGTACCACACCCTCATCGCATCACAATATACCACACTCTCTTGTTCCACAGAAAGCTCTGGTACAAATGTTCAGCTTCTTCACGCCATTGTGCTCAAGAGCGTGCCTACATTTTAGTATTTTCCATCTCTATTTATTATCACATGCCTTTATCAGCATTGTAACAAGTCACCCTGTTACTTAAGGTTGAAAGAAATGGATCTGTTATGTGTTCTCTTAATATCATTTGACCTAGGTCAAAATATAAGGGGGGGGGGGGTGTCCCAAAAGATGTTTAATAGAAGTATGCAGATATCTCAGTTGCTCATCTAATAATGTATTTATGTTTATTTAATAGAAGCACACAATGGGAGTCTTTGTAGTTACCCTGTCTGTATGTGTGTGTCTCTGTCTGTTCCACTGATATCTCAAGAACCGTATGTTGGTTTTTAATGAAACTTGGTGTATAAATGCTCTGGGCTAATGTGCAGATTTGATTAGGTTTTGGTTGATATCCATGCATATTAATTACCTGATTCGCATGATAATTAGTAAATTTTTGGCTTTTTCACTCACTGATATCTCAGGTACTAATCATCACATTTCAATGAAACTTACATAGATACATAGGACGATGCACAGACAGATATGTGAAATATTAATTACCTAATTTGCATAATTAATCAATTTTCAGCTTTTGATATTTCAAGTACTATTACTTCATTCCTTTTCAATGAAACTTGATACATAGATGCTCTCAAACAATCCAACGACCTGATTAATTTTAAGTAAAAATGTGTTAATATTAATCAACTAATTTGCATAATTAGTTATTTTTTGGCTTTTACGCTGATATCTCAAGTACTAATTATCCCATTTCAATGAACCTTGGCACATTGATGCTCCAGAACAATGCACAGACCTGCTCAGCTTTGGGTTAAAATCAGATCATATTAATCACCTAATGTGCATAATAAATCATCATTTTGGTTCTAATCACATTTCAATGAAACTTTGTACATACAGATGGTCTGTGACAGTACTTATCTAAATTCAGTGAATATTGGTACATATTTACTCTGAATCAATGTGTTTATCAAATTAGTTTAAAATTTAGGTTTATCTACATCTATAATAATTACCTCATACCTTCAGTTTTCCACTAATTTAGTTAGGAGTAATCTTCACATTATAATGAAACTTTGTACATGTGTACCCTGAAACAATATACAGACATAAATCTATGCATAATAATTGCTTAATTTATATAATAATTTATTTGGTTTAATGTTGATAAACATGCATATTGATTATCTATTATTAGCCCATTTCTGATATCTAAAAAAATCATATTTAAATTGATTGCATCGTAGAGGTGCTCAGGAACTAATTAGACTAAAAACCATGGATAAAAATCAAATGTATTTTCTGTATGTAATATAAATTTTGATAATGTGAATCACATTTTTTTCATGTTATGCATCTCAAATAACAGACAAAAATTAGTTGCCAAGCTTCTTTTTTGAAAAGCAGATCTTAAATTTTGAATTAATTTTTAATGTGTCTCCAATACTCTAATCACACGTGAGTACTTTCTAAGCTTTCTTTGGTTTTCATTATTTTTTTCTCAGTCAAAGATATCACTTTGATATGTCTGGGATATATATGATGTTTGTTAATCCGATGGGATACATTGATGACATCAGTCCCGAAAAAATTAAGGATGAAAAAGACGCTTCGTTTTTCTGCAATATCATAGTGGTTGAAGATCCAGTAGATATTTACCTACGTAAGTATGCTTTATGAGCTCTGTTTGTGGGTTTCAGCTAAACCTGCGATATTTAAAGAGGAACCGCTCAATCCCAGGGATTGCACCAAAGAATCGTGGGACACTATTGTTTATGTTGTTCACAAAGTTAATCTATCTTTTGTTATCCATTGTAATTTTAATCCAGAAAGTTAATTTGTTGTGAGATTAGGCTTAACTAGAAGTGACCCTTTAACAACTTTTGAAGGCTTATTCCAAGTTGATTCATTATCTAAACCTCCACCATCTTGGGAAACCATATTTGCATGAACCAACATATTTTCATGATTTGTAGTTTCCACACTGTGACAGTATGTGAAATGAAACATATATATTTGTGAAAACTTTGGTAGTATTACTGAATAGAAATGAATATTAAGAATACTATAAGCTAGAGTGCTCATTTCAGGTTTTATACATTTTGTTTAAACTATTGTCCAATACACGTGTATTAAAGTATGATGGTCGTTATATATTTGATATGGATATAGTATAAAACATAATCATGTGAAAAAATTGTTTGTATCCTCGGGCGGAGCTACGTCACAGAACGTTCCACGTTGCTAAGACGCGCACCACTGTACCATTTATTTTTATGGGCTCTGTGCGAGCTGTTGTGAAACGCCGGTCGAAGAGCTGGTGAAAATAGCTAAAGAAAAAGAAATAGCACAAACTTTGAAGTAATCCCCAGCAACCAAATTTCTATATGTTGCATATGTAGGGGTAATATTGTTACGCTGTTCAGGCAACTTTCCCCGAGTGCAATTTTTGTAGAGTTTTCGGTTTTCACCGTGATTATTGTTAGGTGCTGAAAATGCCCGGATGTCCACCCGAGAATACAGTAAATTTAAACACTCACTGCACAACACTATCGCCCTTCAAGTTGTGTTCAATATGGATCCCATATTTGGAATATGGAATGCATGTTATGATAAATATCTTATTAGTTTTAACAAAACAATGGGAGATGACTTGTGCTTTATGGTCACGATTTCAGATGAAAATACAAGCGAATCGTTTATCACAATTTTTCATAAGTGTTACCTGATTCATTGATTATAACTCATCAACTGCTCTCATTTATTTCTAGTATGAAGTATATTTTTGTAAAAGTGTCTAAAAAAAACAATTGAAATTGTGAGAACTTTCAGCCAATACAAACCAATTATAAATAGCTCAAAATTACGATGTGTTTTGTGCAAAAGTATTTCAATGACCATATGTTTTTTGTCTGGGATTTGTAAACAACAGCTTATATTATAAGGCCATAGTGTAAAAGTCAAGGAAATATGACCATCTATTCTAATGACAACCAATTACTATGAAAGTACCTGGAATTTGGGTCAAATGAAGAAAAGCCTAGGGAATTGTTGGAGTTCATTTTTATTGATTTTGGGTTTCACAGACTGTAATATTTTTTTCTTTCATACAGCTATTTACATTGCCATAGGTGTATATGTTGGTTTGATTATACTCTATGTGTTTGGTCGCTATGCACACAAGTAAGTACACTATGTTTGGTTGCTATGCATGCAAGTATATATCATATTTGGTTACTATGAACACAAAGTATATACCATATTTGGTTACTATGAACACAAAGTATATACCAAATTTAGCTGCTATGCACACAAGATATGTATCTATATTTGGTCGCTATGCACACAAAGTATATATCATATTTGGTTACTATGAACACAAAGTATATACCAAATTTAGCTGCTATGCACACAAGATATGTATCTATATTTGGTTGCTATGCACACAAAGTATATATCATATTTGGTTACTATGAACACAAAGTATATACCAAATTTAGCTGCTATACACACAAGATATGTATCTATATTTGGTCGCTATGCATACAAAGTATACACTATATTTGGTTGCTGTGAACACAAAGTATATACAATATTTGGTCGCTATGCATACAAAATATATACCATATTTGGTTGCTATGCATACAAAATATATACCATATTTGGTTGCTGTGCACACAGTATATACCATATTTGGTTGCTATGCACACAAAATATATACCTATATTTGGTCACTATGCATACAAAGTATATACCATATTTGGTTGCTATGCATGCAAGTATATACCATATTTGGTTGCTATGCCCACAAAGTATGTACCATATTTGGTTGCTATGCATGCAAGTATATACCATATTTGGTTGCTATGCATGCAAGTATATACCATATTTGGTTGCTATGCATGCAAGTATATACCATATTTGGTCGCTATGCATACAAAGTATATAGCATATTTGGTTGCTATGCATGCAAGTATATACCATATTTGGTTGCTATGGATTGATCTATCTAAAATGGCGTAATGCTAGTTCCATGTTCCTGTTTCTCATGTTACTATGCATGTTTACTGCTTTGCTGTATTTTAATATTGTCTCTATGATTTGGTGTATATTCGTATTTTGTTTTCTGTAAGAAGTACACTTAAATTATGTACCGGTAGTTGTGTGATATAACAGAAGCAAGACGTATAGGAGTACTCATTGGTTTAGTTAGTCACAGTCCTGCTATAGACCAGTCTGGAAACGAACCGTATTTTTTTATAGCGGGACTGTGGTTTAGTGCTAAATTCCTTTGTTAAGTACAACAGCAAATATTCTGTTTGTGTCCGGAGAGGGAAAAGTCAACACACTATTACGAGCAAAATGTGAAAACTCGATGGAAAATTAGATTATTATATGTAATATTAGGTTTTGAAAGCTGCCAAAAGCATGTGTTAGAGACATACCTACTGTAGAATACTTCATTTTTGCTTGGAATCTATTTTCGCTGAAGGGATGATTCTGTGAAAACTAAAATCCAGCGAATATAATTTTTTTCCTATATTTCACATTAAACTCATCAAAAATCAGTGAAAATAAATTCCAAGCAAAATGCCCAAAAAGCCTTTTCAGCGAAAATTAATTCCAGCGAATATAAAGTATTCCACAGTATGCAGATTTTCCAGTACTTATCTATATTTATGTTAAACACCTTGACTACTCTATTCACATTGGCTGTTTATTCTATTGATTTATCTGTTGAGCTAACTTATAACAGAATGTGCACAGAATGGCGAAATGCAACATGTGGATTAAAAAAAAAAAAGAGTTGTAAGCAGAAATCTCTTATGCTTATGTGAAGTCAAAATATCATTGTATACCCTAGTACATGTAAATAGAGAACTTATAATTGTGCAGAACATTTCAATTTCTATCTTTTTCTATCAATTTCTATTATGTTTTTCTTTTTGTTTTTTTTAGACATCACTGGCTATATAAAGTGTTATTTTGTCTCGAGACTGAAAGACTTGTCAATTCGGTAAAAAAAAAATATTTTTTTATTTCACTGTTAATTATACTATTATGATTTTTTTTTATTCAAAATTTCGCCAAATAGGGTTCATTTTTATTTAACAGCGGTAAAATGTTACAAAAATTACTAATTATATATAGTCCCTGAATATTTTCTCTTTAAGACATAAGTGATCACTGCCAGACTTTTGTATCAATCTGAGCCTTAGGTGAGGATTAATGCTACTTTGGCGGTAATCATGAATGTCTGCAGATGCCAACCTAAGAGGAAATATTGTGGCAGTGTAGAATATATTCATCACATGCATATTGGTGTGTTGAAAGTATTGCTGAAATACAAATAGTATGCTAATTATGGGATACTATTGTGTTCTGTTTCACATGCATACATCATCACAGGTTTCTGCTCGTTCATGATACCGTACTTGACCGCGTTAGCGCCCATGGCCGAGCAAGCGCCCACCCCCCCTTTTTATATTTGGGGTCACATTCGGCAAAGTGCCCACCCCTTCAAATTTAAAATTTAAAACATGGTCTTGCGTAACGAATCTTGGTAATCGTTTTTATATGATACTGCGTGGATATCGGCCGCTGTGAACATGTTGTGAATGCGTGCATGAACTACGCTTCGACAATGATCTGTTAATACAAGTAAAATGCGGTAAATATTTCATGCTATATTTGATTTACCTCTCAAAACTGGCTAGTTACTAGTTTTTTGGAAAAAACCATGTCATTTATTCGCTGAAATCAAATCCAACAGATCGTACTTCGACATCGATAATTCACTTCCGCATTGCGTTACCGGAAAGTTTTCAGGAATTTCCAAAGAATTGCGTCAGTACAACACAGCATTCTGATTGGTTTATAACCAACTTGACCCATTAGGTCAAAGGACACTGCTGCAGGTCAAATCTGCAAATGCATCATGGCGGAAAGTGATTTTCATCGAGAATTTGCGTACGATCCAACACCTTCGTCAGTGAAGATAATATGACAATTTTGACTTTAACTGTGTTCCAACAGACTCAAATGTTTTTAATTTCGTAAATTCTGGTGGTACGTAATTAATATTGTTAATAAATTGTACATATTTTTTGTGATCCTTTCTGTTTCTTCATTGTGAAAATCAATGATGACTCAACTAATTTCGTAATTTGATTTTCCCTCAAAGACGTAATCTATCACTTGATGAATCAAATTTTTCATTTGCACTCTTTTTCGAGGGGGGTGCTCGGGTAAGCGCCCATCCCTAATAAATCGTGATCTTCTGAGTTGAGGCCCCTGGGCGCTAACGCGGTCGAGTACGTTATATTTACTGGATTTTTTTATTACAATTTCCACTTTCTTTTCTAAATAAACACATGAATTTGCTAACACAAATCTTTTTGCTAACATAATCCATAATTATTGAATCTGGAATGTCTGGACAATCTTCTACTAATACTAGAGCAAATATGGTACAGTTAAACCTGTCTCTAATGCTTTGTTCACATGGCAGCTTTCTCCCGGGGCCCAACTGCTGCTGCTCCCACCGATTAACAGGAGATTATCTCCAATGCGTCCATACGATCGGGAGTTGAACGAGAGCCGAACTCTGCCATAGTTTGTTTCGGTTCGATCAGAGCTGAATGGAAGAGTGCCCTCAAATAATCACATGTAGTATGAAAAAAACATGGAAGAAAACAATGATGGTGTGATCGTGTCATGCTTGTGTTGTTTCTTTACAAGGCACGATGCTGTTGAGCATTCACATTCACAAGTCTGAGCATGAAGGTAGAAAAGACAATGCACTGGTGTTATGATTTAGGTACTAGTACTGGTATCTTGAATAAACAGGAAACACGGCAGCTAAAATGTGTATTGTCCAACTGTTGTGATATGTGTGACAGTTGTCAATCAAAACCTACTAGGTACATGCACCCATGGAACTATAAACCCCAGGAAGAACAACGAAACTAAGAGGATTAAAAAAACCTTTGTCTTAGTTTATCTTACAGTGCTTTCGCTTTTGTTTCCACAACATTAGTCATACTCCATGTTAGTTGCCGCCGATACGCCCGTTTCAACCGCTTTGCTGGAAACGGAAAACTTGAAAAACAATTTCATATCTGCGCAGTAAAATATTTCGTTCACTACGCATGCGCAAACAAGTCGGTCTGCAGGGTGACCTTCAGTGTACCGGAAATCATGCAACGGGTCGGAGTTTTGGCGAGTTTTCATAATTTTTAATGTCGTTTTTAGATTACTTCTTGTTTTTTTCAACCCTCGAAAAAATAAGGTTGCGAAAGTTTGCGAAACATGGGGTTTGGTGAGCTGTTTGTTGTTGAGATATCCCGACTAATTCCGTGTTTCCCTTCGATCGCCAGAAGTGGCAATGTGTTTTTTTTTCCCGTTGAATGTCGATCATTTATCAGTGTTTTTGTCTTGGCGCCATTGTTTTTTATGCTATAACCGGAACAACTCGGTCACGTGATCTCCCGGAGTCGTCCGATTGACTCCGAAAATGACCGATAGTCGGAGATAAACGGTCATTTGCGTAAATCGGCTTATTTTTGAATGCGACAAAATAAACAGTCAAAATAAACATTCGACATCGCGGCAACTATCATAGTTCAAAGGAAACAAAGTGGTTGTTCTTCCTGGGGTTTATAGTTCCATGATGCACCTTACCGTAACCGCTTCTACGATGAGAGTGTGATTTGGGCTCTGATAGTTGGGCCCTGCGTATACACTATCGGGCCATGTCGGGGCTCAACCCTATCGGAGTTCAACCCTAAGGGTTTATTGGAGCCAAACTTGGCTCAAGCCGGCTCGAGCTGAATGCGTATACATGGCCATTTTTGCTGGCTCGAGCCGTAGGGCTCCGATAAAATGCTGTTGTGTGAACGTAGCATAAGCTGCAGAGTTCCCCATCAAAGTATTACAAGCTTGTGATGGCTATTACTGCTGCTCTGATGTTAATAAACAATTAAGACCAATTAACATAACCATGTTAATTGTAGAGTAACAAATTTGGTAGTCACTGTAAATAGACTTTTTGTTGTTTTTTTTAACTTAGCAGACTTTGGGGTTCAGGAAAGTATGTCTATAGCAAAGGGACAAAAAGGTGTTCTTTTACTTTATTAATTTTTTTTTTTTTTGTGTACTATAGGATCTTGGTTCACCTAACAGTATTCTTAATGCGAGTAATTCTGAATCTCAGGAACAGTTCCCTAAGAAAACAGAAAAACAAAAACCAAGAAGATTAAAATCTCTAGACACATTCAGAGGGTAAGTTAATTTACAAATTAATTGATTAAACACTGATCTGAATGATGTTGCTGTAAAATATTTTAAGCAATTAATTTTTACTGAGTTTACTTTCACTTTTCTTTGATGAATTTTTTAGAGCAGTTTTCTATAGAAATCCCCTAAAATACTTTATTTACGCTTGGAATTAATTTTCGCTAGCTAAAATAAAAACCAGCAATTATAACGTTTTTCCTATATTTTACATTCAACTCACCAAAAATCAGTGAAAATAAATTCCACACAAAACACCCAAAATGTCTTTTCAGCGAAAATTAATTCCAGCTAAAATAAACTATTTTACAGTACCCTTCAAATTGTACCAAGTTGTGTTTAGTGAAATGTATACAGGCTCAGAGATGTTAAAGTTGAAAGTATATTTCATAATTTGATTGTGTAACATAATTGTTTTTTTTTTCATAGAATAAGTGTAGTAATTATGATATTTGTGAATCTTGGTGGAGGGGAGTACTGGTTTTTCCACCATTCCAGGTGGAATGGTAAGTGTTGTTGATTATATCGTAATACAAGGGATGGGTTGATGGGGTCTGTTAACCTTTTGACCCTTGAGTTACTGTAGAATACTTTATTTTCGTTTGGAATTTATTTTCGCTGAAGGGATGATTCCGTGAAAATAAATTCCAGCGAATATACTTTTTTTCCTATATTTTACATTAATCTCATCAAAAATCAGTGAAAATAAATTCCAAGCAAAACTCCCAAAAAGCCTTTTCAGCGAAAATAAATTCCAGCGAAAATAAAGTATTCCACAGTAACTACTGTCACTTTTCAAAAAATTAACCCACATTGTTTTTCAAAAATCTTTTCAATAGTTTTGATCGAGACTTGTAGAAAAGGGTAAATTATATCCAGCTGGTTAAAAATTAACAAAAAAATTATAAAAAAATATGTAAAAATGGGCAAAATGTTGCACCAGCCCAGAAAAAATATGGCATTCAAAAGGTCAATAACAACTGTCAATAATAATTGATCAATCTCTTCAATGACTGCGTAACATAAATGCCTCATAAATTGTAACACTTCGATCTCTGTTATGTAATATATATTAATGCAACTGTTTTGTATTTAATAAATGTGGAAAAAAAAATTTGTTATATTATACCAGCCCGAATATTAGTTCTGATTGGTCAAGAGCATATTTTTAAATTATGCAAGCCATAGTAAAATACACCATATACAGCAATTTTTTGACTCCCATGTGCAAAGCACAAAATGGGAGTCTTTGCAGTTAGTGTGTCTGTGATATATTGAAGATAATATTTGGTAATCGTAATATTATCTTCAATATATCATACTTATCAGTCCGAGCAGCGTTTATTTATTTATAACTACTAGTGTGTCTGTGTGTGTGTGTGTGTGTATGTGTGTGTATGTGTGTCCGACTGTTCCACTGCTATCTCAAGAACCATACATCGGTTTTTAATGAAACTTGGTGCATAGATGCTCTGGGCCAATGCGCAGATTTGATCAGGTTTTGGTAAAAATCCATGCTCGTTAATTACCTAATTTGCATGATAATTAGCTAATTTTTAGCTGTTCTATGACTGTTCCACTGATATCTAAAGAACCACTCATTGGATTTTG